GAGTCAAGTTGTTGTTATGGACCGCATGTTACAATTCCAAATAAACCATATGCGACAATGTCAAAAGTTGACATATGAAATGTCATTCTATTCAGAGTGTCATTTTCTATCGAATGAAGTAGAAATATACCGAGGGTGCCATTTAAAAATCAAAAGTTGTAGTCATTTCTGGTGAAACAGGAAGTGACTAAAAATAATTGAATACGTCAATCAATCCTATTTTATGTTATATACTAACATACCAAATCTCGTTTTTGATCTGAAAAAAAAACTTTTGAGACGCACCCGTATATTGCCGAACTTTCCCTAGTACCTACGATTTGGACCAGCCTGTAGCCTGTACATATCAAAACTCAAAACGTCTACCAAGTTTTTTTATCTGAAAAAATAAAAAGTTATAGGGATGAGCCACCTTTGAGACGCACCCGGTATGCTCTATGAAAAGATTTCAAGTTTCTTTAATTTTCAATTAAGTATTTTATTGTTATGGCCTTTAAATAACTCTAGTATTTATAAAATATGTATGAGAGACCTTGAATTTATCGTAATTTACTGCATATGACCTCTTCTCCCACTATTAAATCACTATTAATATTTATGTTATTGTTAGTAATAGAAAAAAAAAACATTTATCAAGAAGAGCTTTCGGATAACTATTAAAATGTGATTTTTACGCATGTTTATGATACCGTATGATCGAAAAAACGGCGTCAAAGACGGCTGGGAATGAGGATAATCGATGATAATTTTTGCGAGGTCAAGTTCTAGACGTCATTTACTAAAAATTGACATAAAACTTGTTAAAAATTAACTCTAATAATTATAAAAAGATTAAAAAGGATGTTTCCAGAGACACAAATCTATTTTAAAATTTTTTTTACCCCATTTAAAAATCATTTTTACTCACTATAGACATGAAATACAACCTTCTTAATGCCAAAACTGGCTGTAAGCGCCTTTAAAATATAAAAAGAGTAAGCCAGATAAAAAGAGAGAGCCAGGTAAATCAAGTCTAGGGCTTCACCTCGTCAAAATTATTATCGATTCCCTAGCCGCCCATGACGGCGTTTTTTTTTCGATCGTATGGTATTTTTAGTAAAAACGAATTCTATGTTGTTATTTTCATATTCGAATTATTTTCTAACTATTTTTAAAAACGGTTGCGTGTATCTGCGGTCGGGTATATTATGTCAAAAATTATTAATTTTTGATATACTATATTTATTGATATTAACTATCTATCAGTTCGAAATACAGTAAAGATACATCATCTGTGTAAGGTACATCATATGTGTAATTTAATACTGTAATTTAATACAATGGGAAGCACCCACCATTCAACAACGGGAATATATAAATATTTGTTTTTCTGCAATAATAACAATAAGAATTATTTAATATCGAAACTCTACAGGGTGACGCGTTTTTTTTCGATCGTATTGTATATAATCATCTAATGTTACAGTTTAGAGAAAATACATAAAGGAAAGTAACGAAATATCGAATACCATTTACTTTTTGTGTTATATGCATACAGGGTCCAGGGTGGCTTTTATCTATGGAAACGGTCGATTATTATGTAAAATATAGGAGGTACCCCATAAAGTTAAATACAAAAGTTTTAGGATTTTTAAATATCTATTAGAGAGAAATAAATTTAAGTATACAGGGTCGTTCAGAAAGTCGTGGCACATCAAAGTTTCATTTATTTAAATAGAACCCCCTGTATATTATTACATATTTCAATTATTCCTTCAATTCTAAGCAAAAATCGAAATACACACAATGTACCTCAAAGCAAGCGTTTCCGAGTTATTGACTTTTGAAAATATCACTTAAACAATTCGATTTAATTAACTTCGATGTGTTTGGTTTGATTTAATGATGCCATTCTGCCGAAACTGTGATACTGTTGTAATGAGTTTTTAAATTCCTATTAGCTACTAGTAAATTTAAGTATACAGGGTAGGTCATAAAGTTGTGTCACATCAAACTTTATCTTTTTTAAATGAAACCCCCTTATATTATTACATATTTCAATTCTTCCTTCAATATTAAACAATAATGGTAATACAGAATGTACATAAATTGAAGAATTGAAATGATAAACGAAAATTTTGTAATTTCCAGACTTGCTATAGTACTCTCATTTTATACATCTATAAGCTAACTTGAGGACTAATGTCAAATATTAGTAAGTATTACAGTTTCGGCAAAGGGACATCGTTAAATGAAACTGAACATATCGAAAATAATTAAATCAAATTGTTTAAGTGATATTTTCAAAAGTCAATAACTCGGAAACGGTTGGTATGAGGTACATTGTGTGTATTTCGATTTTTGCTTAGTACTGAAGGAAGAACCGAAATATGCAATAATATACAGGGGGTTCCATTTAAAAAAAATGAAACTTTGATGTGCCACGACTTTATGGCCGACCCTGTATACTTAAATTTAGTACCCGCTAATAGATATTTATAAAGCCTATAACTTTTATATTTAACTTTTTGCCGTACCTCCTATATTTTACCTAATAATCGACCGTTTCCATACATAAAAGCGACCCTGTATAAAAAAAGGTATTGTAAATCAGAAATTTCTATTCTTAGTTATTATCAATCATACAGTTGTACATAACCTAATGACTGTTTTCTGTTACATATTTTAATTTAAAGTCTCAAATTATTTAAAAAAAAATGCACCATTTTGAACCATTCCATTTAAAAAAATACAGCATACTTGTCTCATAGCGCTGAAAGAAAATGTCCTCACCATGGCCACAAAGCCCGTTTTAATGACAAGGCGAAACCTGCACGTGATGTTTTAAAAATGTACGTATATTATTAAATGACGTTATCTTTACATAGGAACAAATACGCAAAAGGAAAGAGGAAGAAGAAAGGATAGCTGCTCAAAATGAGTTCCTCAACCGATCGTTGCGGGGTTCCCGGAAACTACAAGCCTTGGAGAGCAAGCCTCAAGGTACCATCAACGACGCCTATGAAGACGAAGTTACGGATTTTACGTCAGAGTCTTCCGAGGAAGAGAAGGAATGTGTCCATTCGGCATACGGTAATCCAAAATTTTATTTTATTTCATATACAGTTATTTATTTGGGACACCCTGTAACTTTTGAAAACAATTTTAAATTGTAGCTTTAGTAGTCCTCCAATGATCCCATCACTCACAATTTCTAAAAATCTAATTATTTGGCTACAGTATTGGCTCAAAATATGTTGCTAATATCGAAATCATTGTTGCAGCTTATGGTGATCTGGTCGATGCCGTTCAAAGGCTCCAGCTTCAGCTGAAGAAAACGTCGGCTGGTTCCGGTATTTCCGGGCTAGAGGGACGTATAGCTGCCATACAGTCCCTCCTATTGTCTCCTCAATTTGGCCGGGCGCTGGCCATACATAACAAGATACAGGCTGTCCGATCGCAGACCTCCGTTCGGACACAGCCCATAGCTCAAAATGCTCTCAGGGACGCCCAGGACGCCTTGGGCAATTCGCAGAGTGCCTACGCGGTGGAATTGGCTACCTTACTTACAGGTACAGTCAGAAATGTGACTTATTTCAGATACCAGTAGGTAATACAAGTAGTACCTATTTGAAATACAGATATCATTTAGATTAAATTATCATTTAGATCATTAGATTTTAATTCATTGAAAATAATTTAAAATTAACTTTCCAAAAATATAGCACACTTGAAATTTTGCTCGATTCCTCTTCGAGATATAGAGTTTATAAAAATTTGCCTACTTTGGATAAGTAGGCTTTGAACGGCGCCCCGCTGTAATGCAAAAAAAAATCTAGCTGTGAGCAGTAATTAAAACGAAAATAATATTTGTAATGAGAGATGCAGAATTTTATAACAATATAAACTATATTTAACAACATGAACACATTTAAACTATATCTAATAACAATAAAAATAAATAGCAAACCAAAACATGAGATTTTGCTACAGGTGTTTGGTTTGGTTTGACATATAGACTGTCTTCTGTTATGGACAGATGCACAGAGGTTCCCCTTAATTAGCTGCGCGGTCATAACTGTTAGATATCTAGATATAGCTTGACTGCATCTTTTTTAATAGAAATTGATAACAAATGCTAAATTAATGTATATAAAAAACTTAATGTAATATATATTAAAAAAATTGGGCCCAGTTCATGTGATTTGCATTTTAAGTTCTAACTATTCGGAAAGGTATATACAGATTATTTTCATATTGAAGACGTCAAATTTATTTTAAATGTTGAAAAAATAAAAGAGACAGTTGTTTCATTTTATAAATACAATTTTATTGTCAATTGATATACAGTGTGTCCACGAAATAAGTTGACACGAAGAGGAAAAAATAAGTTACTTTTATTTTAAGACAAAAAGTCAATCTTTAACCACCCGGTATAAGATCCGGCGGCAATTCGCGGCAGCCAGTGGCAATTAATTTATATGCAATATACTTTAAGCAACAAGTATTATCATGTCGTTTAAGAGGATTTGAAAGGAAAAGTAGTTAAAAGTCTTAAATAGTGACAAGCAAAAATGTAAAAATACTATTTTTGTTGCCTTCAAATAAATTGCCATAAACTAATATTACTTAGGTTTAATTAAGCGCAAAAAAAACAGTTCTTTTTACCTTCTTTTCGAACGTCCATTACAGAAAAGGCAACAGCTTTTATCAAATTTAATAAAATAAGTAATTAATTGGCGTTATCTGAAAACTGTTTATGTCATTTACACATGTCATTACATATACATTTCTAATAAAAAAAAAGCGCTACACTAGGCTTACTTGATTTTGTTATTTATTATGTATCGTTTACAGGGGAATATAAGAAAAGTATTAGCAACAGTTTCATGCAAACATTTTGAAATTAATATTTCTAAGTAATAATCTCTCTGGGAATCACTGTGAGATGGGACCGTTTTTGAACATCTATCGCGGAATTCATTAACTCACAGGGGGGTGAAAAATGCCCTCGCATAACCGCTAAGTATTTCTAATTTTTGTCTAGATTATACCGGCAATTTAAAAATCAGAACCTTTACTCTTCCACAAAGATAAAAATCCATATGCACTAAGTCCGGTGGCCTCGACGGCCAACGGCTGAGATCTTAGTTAGCTATTCAATTATTCTCGAAATTGGCTGCAAAATTTGCTGATTGATGAACTTCAGCGTTCTGAGGCGGTGCCTCGTCTTGCTGAAAAAATATGTTTTGGAGTTCCATTAGGGGCAGATCATCAATAAGGGGTCCAAAGCCTACTAGTTAAAAGTCGCGAACTTTTACAAATTCTGTACTTCGAAGGGGACTCTAACAAAATATCAAGTGTGCTATAATTTTGAAAAGGTAATTTTAAGTTCTTTTAATTAAAAATATACAGGGTGTCCCAAATAAAAAATCCATTTTTCTGTTGATAACTCCTAATTTATTAATTAAAAAAAAATATATAAGTACTTAAACCATTAAATTCTACGTAAAAAAGTGTGCTTTGGAAATGTTTTCATAAAAATACATTTTCCATAGCAAAAATGTTACAGCGATTTGTTTAAAATGCACATTTTTGAAAAAAAAACACCCTGTAACTCCGAAACGGTAACAGATATCGATGTGCGGTTTTCACCATCACGTTTTTGATAAAAATTGAGCTCCAGACACCGATATTAATTTTTGTCTATCTCCTATAGAAAAGGGTGTTTCCCTTTAAAAGCGTCCAATTTGACCCACCCTGTACATCTCTAATTTCGAGCTGAATCCTAATGAAGCTTTAATCTTTTTATTCAAAGCTCTATACCCGTCGAATATTGACTTTATACCGGGTACGTCTCAAAAGTGGCTCATCCCTATAACTTTTTATTTTTTCAGATAAAGAAACGAGATTTGGTATTTTAGTATATGACATAAATTAGGATTGATTGACGTATTCAATTTTAGTTTTTCTAATGTTTAATCAAGGAGCCTTGGAAAAATACATTTGATAGTTTAATGTTTTTAGTGTCATGTCATGACCGGTTAAAAGATGCCCAAATCCTATTTTTAATCATTTCTCAATTTTTTCAAATGGAACGAGGGTGGCTCATTAGCACATTTGGAAAAAGCATTTTTTTCCGAATAATTTGATACCACCCACTTGGTATTTGAGTCAACTTTTCGTTATGAACCTCATGTTATAATTTCAAATAAACCACAGGCGCTAATGTCAAAAGTTGACATATGATATACCATTCTATTCAGAATGTCATTTTCTATCGAATAAAGTAAATAAATACCGAGGGTGCCATTTAAAAATCAAAAGTTGTGAAACTTTTCCTGTGAAACAGGAAGTGACCGAAAACAATTATTGAATACAGTACGTCTGTCCGTCCTATAGCTATGGGGTATCCGTGAGAGGGGAAACGATATTATCTCCATGTTTTTCGTAAAAAAATAGACGACGCGTCCCATCAATAAAAATTCGACAAATTTGCAAGTAGCCAATAAAATGAGTGGACGGAGCTGATGATTAATAATATTATAAGTCAAGTCGACGTATAAAATATATTGCTGTTTATTTAAATGTTTTTTGTCCGCATTCCTTTCATAGACACAGATCCAGCAGACGTACTGTACGTCAGTCAATCCTAATTTATGTCAACATAACAAATTTCGTTTTTTTAACTAAAAAAGTAAAAAAGTTATAGGGGTGAACCACTTTGGAGACACACCCGGTATAATGATTGTACAGAACAAATAAAAGTATAATACCAGTACGTTGCTTGTTGCAGGATACGAATTCGAAGGCTTGATGGTAGCTCACGATGGCGTTGCTTCCACTTTACCACCGGATTCGACATCGCCCCCGCCACAACCTCCCCTTGGTCTGCCAGCCATCAGGAGCAGTCGCTACGGGAGCGAAGATAACATAAAAATTATTAGGATAGAAAAAACGACTGAGCCTCTAGGCGCCACTGTGAGAAACGAAGGGGATGCTGTTATCATAGGTAAATATTTGGGGCATATTTACAGGCAATTAGATGCATATGAGGGCGTCAAAATAAATAAATTACAATATGAAGAGAGGTAATGATACAATTCCTTCCAGTCCTCTGTTCTCATTGCTTTTGTCAGGTTTGGTCAGTACCAATCGAGTGCCTATAGGCTTGGTGCATTTCGGTTGATTTTAAAAATTCCAACCAGCGCTCGATACGGCAGAAATCAGAAGTTTTCGGCCTGTATTTCAAGCAGTTCCGATGTTGATCGCATTGATATAATATTAAAATCGCGACTTTGTCATAATATTTAAGTATTTTAATTTTTAATAGTGCAGTTATTGAAACTATCACTCAGGTACGAGGTTTGTGTTATGTAACGTTGTTTCAGGTAGAAAAAAATACGTGAAAAAGAATCCGAATTAGGCGTCGCTTTGTGTTGAGACAATTTAAACACACGCAAAGGAAAGTGTAATTACGTGATTGTTGGGTGCAATAACATTCAATAATTCAGCTTTCCCGGATATTCAAATCTCTCATAACAACATTTTAGAGCTTCACAACTTCTCACGCCGATTTGATCAAAAGCAAAAAATGGATTCAAACAGCTCGACGAAACCAGTGAGTAAAGAGTAAACAAAGTGCCCATTACATAATTAAAAAAATAAATAGGAATATATTATGAGACGATAAATTATAATTTGCAATATTAACGGTATACTTGTTTTAATCAACTAGTGCTTAATTTTTTATGAACATCTTCTGAAATTATAATTACGTACTTTAAAAAAAATCGTTATAACCGAAATAGCCCCAGTTATGTCTCCGCTAGCAAAATCGGTGCGTAAAACTGTGCTAGCTACCGTAGTTGAATGCATCTAAAAAGTTTTATTAGCTTGAATAATAAATTATAATACAAATTAGATCTTCTGAAGATATCAAAATATTTACTTTTTTATTTTTAGAATTTCCAGAAATTATACTTTCTAACACTTTTAGAATAATAATTATATAATAAATTTTTCGTATACTCGCTATTTAAACCCGTGTATTTGTATATGCCGGTTGCTGCGACCATCGGAGAATATCGTAAACAACCGCCATACCGGCGGAGAATGCACTAAGCCTATATCCCAGATTATACAGATCATAAACTTATCGTCAAAAGCATTGTTTTTCGGGGTTCCATTTTTCGGAGTCGCGCACTAGTTAGGTTACTAGTTTGCGCACATAGCACGCCCACTTATGGCCTCTAAAATTGTGCACAGAGCCTGACCGGCCCAGTTATTACCCTGTTTAAACGCGAGTTTATATTTGCGCACAGGAAATTTTACTCGTTTGCTCATCCTCATAAAAAACAATTTTCGTACCACGAATTAGTGACAAAATTTTTATCTGTATACATATAGTATACCTAATCAGTGCCTATATAAACTAAAATGACATGCTACATACACATAAACAAAATTATTTTTTTTTGTTTTAGGTCGAGTAGTAAGAGGGGGAGCAGCAGAGAAAAGCGGTCTTCTTCATGAGGGCGATGAAATTTTGGAAGTAAATAGTATAGAAATGCGTGGCAAAAGCGTCAATGCAGTCTGTGATATTCTTAAAGATATGGAGGGATCCTTGACTATACTTATCATTCCGGCATCACAATCAAGGTAAAA